TTGAGTTCGGATCCACGTATTTCGGCGAGAAAAAGCAAGAGCAGGATAGACCATATTATTATTCCAGGCGGAGCCGCAGGAGCGGTTCGAGAATGTCATACTCTTCCTGTTGCAGGACGACGGCTGCAACCCATCCGACACAGTGAAAGGCGAGACCACATTCCAGTCGCGCTGGTGATCGACTGCAACACGGATTTACGAGGACAGCGCTGGCCAACGAGAGTGAACCGAGATGCTCTTATGAAGTGTTTGCGTAAAGGAGTGGATCGGGAACAACTATTTCGCAGTATCGAAGAGTTGCAGAAAGAGATAACTGAGGAGACCAAGCAGCGAGCAAAGTCAACACGCACGCCTGACGAGATGTGGGGCAACTTGCCGACCACAGTCACCAAGGCAATGGAGGGGGTCTCCCCGCAGGGGGCGAAGACTAAGCCAGCGTGGCTGGAAGCGGCAACCAGCTACCGAATGCAACTGCTAGACGAACGGCGACATATCAGGGAGCGCATGGGGACCTGTGAGGATGAGGAGTATGAGGCGATCCAAATGAAGCTGAAGGGGCTCTCCGCGACGCTGAAGTCAGAGAGGGAAGCCCGAGAAAGACGCAGAGAAGGGGGAACTAGTGGAAGCCGCATGCCAAGCGGCAGACCAGAGGGACTTTGCAGAACTACATGCCCTTCGCTGTCAATATAGTGGCACGGGCCGAGGACCGCGGAAGCGATATTTCTATGCACCGCGAACAAATCTGACAGCAGGTGAATGGGGAAGTGAACTACAGAAAGAGGGAAAGGAAGGTGGATTGGAGGCAGAGACGATAAACTGCGAGCAGGTGAAAGCAGAGCACTGCGAGACAGCGGGGAACGACGGCGAGGGCGACGCGCGATTCATTGATGCCGAGCTGATGGGGGACGCTCGAGAAGATCGCAAAGCACTAGTACGATATCTACGACGCACATGCAAAGGGAGAGCTTGCCCAACACGGGGCCTTCCCAGCGAGATGGCACTGCCCATCGAGAAGCCGCTTGCGAACATAGCGGGTCCCAATGAAGCTAGTGATCGAGTCGCCGCACGACTACAACGAGTTGCGGAAGCAGAGGAGGAGGAAGACAGGCCGCAGACTAACAAGGGCCGCTTGTTTTTAATGAAGATGGGATGGAGACCAGGTTCAGCACTCGGGGCAGGTCCCGATGGCACACCAGCTGAAGTTGTTCTACCAGACCTATTGATTTTCAGGCGACACTTCAGAGCAGGAGCTGGCACCGAGGAGATGAGTTGCGAAGCGCAGTTATTCCAGAGAAGATACGCTGCGTTTATGGTTAAGGTACGTGCGTGTGAAGCTGTCCCGACTGATTGCCTGCGAGCTTCTTCGTTCAGTATGGGCGAGGGAAACGGCATCTTGGGCGGACGGGTGGTGCATTGCTACTGCGCATGGTCAATGGGATTTCACAGTGGGATCCACAAGCGTGCACCTCTCAGAGAAAGACCCTACTGGGCGCACGGCGGACTGGCTAAGAAAGGCAGAGAAGATGCACTGATAACCACTATGAATTGCAGGTGGCGAATCTTATCACTGGGCCACAGCCATATTGCGACGACCTTTGACTGCGCGAATGCGCTTGGCTGCGCGGACCGTTCAAAGCTCGAGGAGATCGCGCGGACACAGAGCCAAGAGAAAGACATTCCGTTCGCAGTGGGGGCCCTTGAACACGCCTCGATGATGATCAAGGGCAGCGACGAGGAGATCAGTCTTACGCCAAAGAGCGGAAGCCAGATGGGTTTCTGTCTCGCCCCACGCGACTTCAATGGCTGCTACAACCACTGGTTGAGAACTGGAATCAGAACCTCATGAAGCAGGACATTACTTACGGCTTGCTACGCACACGGAGTCCGACGATGAAACAGGGAGAGGAGGTGGAAAGTCGCCAGGCGACATTTATGGATGACGTGACTCGCGCGCATGCGCGGCTTGGGACACCGAGTTTGCAGGAGACCATCTTTAAGATTAACTACGCCACCAGGTCGCTCGAAGACCACGCGGCGGAGGGCGGGCACGTGCTGAACGCGGGGAAAACTCACCATCTAGTGAGTATTCGGGGTATCGGGGCCCAAGCGACCACCAGTAGGCTCCACAAGAAATCGGACGGGGTACAGTGAGACAGCCAACGACATATGCGAATGCTTGGGCCCTACTTGGATTCGGGCGTCTCCATCGCCGATGAAATCAGGAGGAGGGGGGAAGCGATGCATCGAGCTTGGGGAGAGGGGGGTTGTTTCTGGAAGGCCAAGGGGTTGAAGCAGACAAAGCGTTTGATGCTTCAGAGCCTGGTCCAGGGCGCAGGGTTGCCGGGGATGGCGACGATGATTCTCGAGAAGCAGCGCGCCGCATTTCTGAAAAAGATCATGGCGAAGCTGATGGGGGGCCTGGCGGGAGGAAAATGTAGTTGGATCGCGCCCGAGGGAAAAACTAGCTCGATGAACAGCTTCGAGGTTTTCGAGTTCTGGGACAAAAATGATACTGGGACAGAGCTTTTCATTCGACGGTTGAAAAGATATTCGAGCTGGGGGCGGTTTCCTGAGGCCGCAAAACATGCACTTGCAGCTGCCTATGGCAACGCGTTGATGGAGGAGGTGGAGGGAGTCGCTCGTCTTGGTTCACTCATCAGAGTTTACCACGGCAGCACGCCGTAGGCCTTGCAAGTTCCCGTCGACACTCTCGGAAGATTCCTGTGAATGGTACCCAGACAATGGCCGCGATTGGCTGCTGTTCGTCGGCGGGACCGAGGAAATACACGCTGGCGCATGACAGATGTGCTCATTGTTCGCCTCCTCTCACGTCATCTGAGGAGACAAGGGGGGGGGGGGGGGCGTGATCATATTGGATGAGGAGGTAACAGGCCACATGGACAAAGAGTTCATATGCAACATGGGGGTCGACAAAGAGGGGGTGGAGGTGGAGTGCGGGAAGGCGTGCACAACATGCAGAGCGCTAGCGGCACGTCAACAACAAGCCCACATATTCAGGTAGGTCTTGGGACTCTTGGCAAGAACGAATCAATGTCCATGGTGTAGGACTATATTTGCAAGCAGGCAAGTGGCAATGGGCCATGCGATGGCGGCAACGGAAGGTGCAAGCAAGACGTGTCATGTAAACTTCGGGAGATGGGAGCGCGAGTTAATCGTGCCAGAGAACCTCCATTGCTCGCCATGTAGCCATCTCGCTCGAGATCTAGAAGACTTTCATAACCATGCGGTCGCCCACCACCCAGGCCCTGAGGGCGTTCGCATTTCTCGGTACGGCGGCGATTGCGACACTCCCGTTTTGGAGGGCGCCGAGAAGAGGGGCAGGCGCAGCAGCCAGCGGCCAGAAGGGCAAGGGAGACGACAAAAAGGCTCAACGGAGCACTCATGGAGAACGTAACCAGCCTGCAGCGCCTCGCCCTACTGCAGGGCGCCCAAGGCCGCGAGCTGGCAGCGGACATGTTCGACTTCTGGCTCGCCCCGAGCAAATCGAACCACGTGAAGATGGGAATGGAAGAAGTCAGCGACTACCAGAACCAGGTGAAGATCAGGGGGAAGGGCCACGGTATGGGGGCACCAATGCTGCAGGTGGAAATGGGGATGATGAAGGCAATGCAAGCAGAGCTCAAGGATTCGCCTCACGAGAAGAAGAAGTGGCTGGAGCTAGCGAACCGCGAGGAGAGGGGCAAGACAGTGGGGAGCGAGACTTTCTCGGTGTGCAGGCTGAAGGACGCTTGCCAGAAGGGCGACAGCAGACCAGAGGAGAGGGTGACCAAGGTGAAGGTGAATTTCAACAAATGGGCCGACTTTACAGATTTCGAGAAGGAGGATTTGGACCTTCCAACGATCGAGGAGATGCGCCTGGCGTTCCTGAAGGGAACGGAGAAGGCAGGCGCGGAGAAGACCAGCGGCCAGGCACCGAAACCCGAGCTTGTGAGAGTGGCAGAGAGAAAGTAGTGAGCGAATCTCGAGTAAGGGGGCGACTTAGCAGTGAGCAGCAGCAGTGCAGCAGCAGTAGCAGCAGGAGTCGAGCGCAGAGCTGCCAGCCTATTCAGTACTCCCTTGTCTCTCCCGCCGAGCCTCTGCACCTCTCCCACTCGTCCCCTTCCAAGCAGATAGCTCCAGCGAGTGCTATCATTGCTCAGCAGGCCGCGAACGATCCAACTGTTCGAGACCGCCTGGAGAGAATGGCAGCAGCAGGTAGCATTTAAGCCAGAGAAATGCTAGATGTAGCATACAGTTTGTTGCGTCGTCCTCCACCCCGCGCCCCATAAGGTGGTAGTGTGTGGAGGCATGGGCTCAGGGAGGTTTGTGCGGTGGGAACATGCGTATGCATCCCTGCCGGCGGTTCACAGGCGAGGGTGATTCGGAATGCTCACGTCTGCGAGCCAGGCTGCGGTTCAGAGTTTGGCAGCCCCTCGTCGCATACAATAGCCACGCAGGGGGGCACTACATATCGGCTGACTAGCCATTCCATATGCTCGAGTGTAGAGCCAGAGAGGACGCCCGCCCCCCCCCCCACCCCCCAAGCGTTCCATCCATCCATCCATCCATCCATCCATCCATCCATCCATCCATCCATCTCTCTCTCTCTCTTCTCCCCTCCCTCCCTCTCTCTCTCTTCTCCCCTCCCTTCCTCCTCTCCCTCTCTCCTCCCCTTCCTCCTTTGCTCTCCCTCTCTCCTCCCTTCCCTCCCTCCTCTCCCTCTCTTCTCCCCTCCCTCCCTCCTCTCCCTCTCTCCTCCTCCTCTCTCCTCCCCTTCCTTGCTCCTCTCCCCATTATCCTCTCCTCCTTCCCTCCTCTTCCCCTCTCCTCCCCTCCCTCCCTCCTCTCTCCCTCCCCCTCTCACCTCCCCTACCTCCCTCCCTCCCTCGCCCTCACCCCTCCCTCCTCTCCCTCGTTCTCCTCCCGCCTTCTTCCCATCGCGCCTCCCCTCCCCTCCGCCTCGCTGTAGTGAGCGCCCCCCCCCCCCCCCCCCCGGGGAGGAGGAGCTGCGGCTGGAGGACTACTCCTGGGAGCTCCACGAGGGGCGCAGCTGCCAGGGCTACGCGAACGGCGACGGCACTGTCAGGCCTTGGGGTGATGCACGCGAGAGGAGGAAAGGTGCCCACACCGCTACCCTCCGCCCGTTTTCCCTTGTTTGGACCTCTTGGAAGGCCCTCGTCGCCACCGCTGCGTGTTCGCCTCGAGATGTTGGTCAGAGCGCATTCCGGGGTAGGTCAAGGGAGTAGCGGTATCGGTACCCTTGTGTTTCTCAAAGAGAAGTGGAGGAGGAGGAGGAGAAGGAGGAGGAGGAGGACGCGGAGGCGGAGGAGGGAGGAGGGAGGAGGGAGGAGGGAGGAGGGAGGAGGGGGGAGGAAGGAGAGATAATAAAGGAGGAGGGAATGGCAGGAAAGACCACAGGATGAGGTGGAGGAGGAGGAGGAGGACTTGTGAGGGAGGAGGAGGAGGAGAAGCACGAGAACCGCAGCAAATCCAAGATGCATCAACTATGCTGCAATACGTCATCCCGCCCCGTGCCCCTTCCTCAGCCTCCTCTGCAAGTGTTTCCCTTCGTTGCCAGAAGCGCCTCACTTGAAAGGCCAGCGCCCTGGCTTGCCGGTTTGGCCAGGGCCCCGACTTGAAAAGGAACTGCTTTGCAGTAGTCGTGCATCCATGCTGCGCGTGGAAGCGGGACGCGGGCAATGAGGCGCCCAGCGATATCCCCCCTTGTGAGACAGGACCGCCCCCCCCACCCATGATACTGTCGCACATTGCAATTAATTCGGGCATGCCCCTCTACAGGAGGAATGTTCAAGAGTAGTCAAACATGGTTTTGGGAATATTTCTCAAGTACTTTTGGACTTATGTTCAGATTAGGTTTTGACTGTCTCGAATGTTTCGTCCAACATCCCCCTGTAGGGTGACATGCCGGGTCTAAGATTACACGTTTGGCCATGTATTTCAAGGATATCTACGTCGAGGATTACATTTTGAAGAGGCGCCGCCCTCGATCCATACAGCTACAAGCTGTGCAGCGCCGTTTTTTTCAAATAAAAGGGTTACGCTTCAAGGTGAGCGTTTGTTGTTCATTATTTTGCCGATCGGCGAGGGCCCTCGCACCCCCACGTTCCCCCCCCCCCCCGAGGAGTAGAGATTTTTGCTGTTTTTGGCGCCTGTTTCAAGTGGGTGGAGTCTCCCCCATCAGGACGCACGGTTCCAAACAGTCGCACTAAGCAGAGGTCCGGAGCCAGACCCCCACCCTCCCCCCTCCTTCCGCCCAGTGTCGGAACGCTGAGTAAAAAAACGTTCACAAGAGGAGCCGCCCTCGATACATACAGTGCCACGCGTTGTGTCGCGCCGGGTTTTTTTCGAACAGAGGAGGTGTCGGGCGACGCCACCGGCTTGAAGAAGAACCGCCTCCATCCGTCGGTTTGCTGCAAGATTTTCAAGCGAATGCGCGTGGCGCCCGCGAAATGGCCCCAGATTGCAAGCTACGCGTGGTTCGTCCATTGGAAATGGCGCAAACGATTAAGACGAAGATGCTGATCTAAACAGGAGCCGTCCTCCATGCTCGAAGCTGGTGGGAACACCATTGTGGAAACGGCTCGCGCGGCGCCCAGGGCCCCATGTTGAAAGCGACCTCGTGCATTCTTAAGATTTCTGCAAGCTGCTCAAACGAACACGCGCGGCGTTGATGCGAGAACCGAATGTTGAAAAGGTGTTGCCATCCATCCGCGAAGCTGCTGCAATGTTTTACAACGAATGTGCGCGGCGCTACGGGGACGACCCCATTTTGACAATGACCCCCCCCTTCCTAGAAGCTGAATGCGCGCGGCGCTAATGCGAGAGCTCCATTTTGAAAACGGCTCAGCCTCCATTCTTGAAGCTGTTGCAAGCTTCAAGTTGCATAATCATGAAAGAGAGGATATCTCAGGCAACACCCCTTGTCCGCCGACACGTCTCAGGGTGTGGCATGGAGGAGTTATTGATCGAAGATGCGTACGGCGAATCAGCACCGACCCCTGCCTTTAGGATGCGACTATGTGGCCAAACGTTGCTTGGCAAAGTTTGGCCACCCTACTGGACCATGCGTTACACCAGCCGTTTTGGGAGCCCTTCGGGGACCACGTGGGAGAGGAAGGAAGAGGAGGATGAGGAGAGGGAGGGGAAGAGGAGGATGAGGAGAGGGAGGGGAAAGGAGGATCTCTTGGGAGCTTCTTGGGTCATTCCTGGGGCCTCCTGTGAGCTTCCGGGGGACCTGTTAGGGGCCTCCTTGGCATTCTTGGGGGCCTTGGGGGATTTCTTTGGGGCCTCTTTGGCCGTCTTGCGGCCTTCCTGGCCCGTCTGACGCCGTCGGAAGCCGTCTTGAGAGCTTCTCTGGGCCGTTTTGGGGCTCTCTTGGGGTGCTTCAGGGTCGTCTTGACGGCAACCTTGGGCGTCTTGGAGGCCTCTTGGGTCGTCCTGGGGCCCTCTTGGGGCCGTCTTGGGAGCCTCTTGGGCCGTCCTGGGGCCACCTTGGAGGCCTCTTGGGCGATCTTTGGGCAATCTTAGGTGCCTCTTGGGCCGTCTTGGGCCGTCGGAAGGTAGTTTTGAAGTACATGCAAAATAACCTTCAACCTCCTCAGGGGAATCAATGATTGTGATCTTTTCAAGCAGTCGTGAGTATCCTCTTGGAGGCCTCTCGGGCCGTCTTGGAGGCCTCTTGGTGGTATCTTGGGCCATCTTAGGCTGTCCTGAGTACATCTTGGGCCGTCTTGGCCATATGCTTCAGCCATCTTGGGCCCTCTCGAGGCCTTCTTGGCCGTCTTGGAGGCGTCGTGGGAGCATCTCGGAGACCATATGAGGCCATCTTTGCCGTGCTGGAGAAGAGCTTATCAACGAGGGGTGGGTTTGGGGAGCCTTTCGGGTGGTCGGGCAGGGCGGTCTTCAGAGTTCTAACCGAAAACGTGCCAGCAGTTTGGCGCGCCGTGCTCTTCTGTGGCAAGACCACGGGGGGCGGCGGACAGCACAGCTTTCGGCCCATCCCGCTACCGTGCCTGGCTCGTGGATGCACTTTGGAGGGGTCTTGGCGCCTCTTCTTACCTCTTCTGCGCTTCTGGAGGCATCATGTGGGCGTCTATGGTGCCTCTTGGGTGCATCTCGGGGGCCTTCTGGGGGCCTCGTGGGGTCTGCTGACGGTCTTTGGGGTCATCTTGGAGCGGGGGGCTCGAAGTGTCAGTTCGTGTTCCCCCGTTGAGCTTCTCTTAGGGTTGAGCCGCCTTGGTGGCTTCCAGGACCGTTCTGGAAGCATGTGGGGCCCTCTTTGGGGCCGCCTCAGCCCCTGAGTCCTCACGTGGTGGCGGGCGGGAATCACCTCCTCCCCTCCACGTCCCTGCCCTTCCCTCCCCCATCGTGCGGTCCCGTGCCGCGGGCCAGAGGTGTTGCGGCAATGTCGTCTGTACTCTTGGCGTTTTTTTCTTTCTTGGGATCTGTCCCCCCCCGCGCGCGATACTCGCCACGTCTGAGGGGCTCGAGCTCCTCCACTCCCCCTCCGTGCCGTGGCCAGTTTGGCTCGAGACCTCTCGGCTCTGGAGCTGTGGGGCGAGGGTCGAAGCAGAAGAAGGAGGCTCCACAGGCACAGATTTTCGGAGGTCCGCGGGGAGTCCTTGGATCTGCGCTGGCCCCCCCTCCCTGGCGCGCGGAGCGCGCCAGCGACGGCGCCAGAGGCGCCGCCAGGGGGGCCAGCTCGGGCGGGTGGCAATGGGGGGGGGACCCAACTGGGTGAAGAAAAGCGCCCTGAAGGGGCCTAAAGCGCCACTTTTCAGGGCAGTTTTCTACACCCCCCATTTGGGTCTCACCCCCCACTACCACCCGCCCGAACAGCTCGGGGGCTCAAGAGACGGGGGTCCATGCAAGCGGGGGTCCGTCAGAGCGGCGGACCTCGCAGGAGCTTGCAGGGCCAGGGTTTCGTTGACCAGGCTCTTGCGGGATCCTGCGCAGGCCTGACCGTCCCGGGTCTGGACTGACCTGGGCCAGGAGATCCGGAGGAGGAGGCGGAGGAGGAGGAGGAGGAGGATAGCAAGGAGGAGGAGGAGGATGAGGATGAAGCAGCAGGAAGAGGAGGCGGAGGAGGAGGAGAGGAGGAGGAGGGGAGGAGGGAGGAGGAGGAGGAGGCGGATAGGGAGAAGGAGGAGGAGGAGGAGGGGAGGAGGAGGAGGAGGAGGATAGGAAGGAGGGATGAGGAGGATGAAGCAGCAGCAAGAGGAGGAGGAGGAGGAGGAGGAGGAGGAGGAGGAGGAGGAGGAGGAGGAGGAGGAGGAGGGGCGGATAGGGAGGAGGAGGAGGGAGGAGGAGGAGGAGGAGGGAGGAGGAGGCAGGAGGAGGAGGAGGAGGAGGAGGAGGAGGAGGATGAGGAGGAGGATACGGAAGGAGGAGGATGAGGAGGAGAGGAGGAGAAGGAGGAGGATAGGGGAGGAGGAGGAGGAGGGAGGAGGAGGGAGGAGGAGGAGGAGGAGGACCAGCGCCGATCCAGAGAATCTGGGCGGAGGAGGAGGAGGAGGAGGAGGACCAGCGCCGATCCCAGAGGGGGAGGAGGAGGAGGCGGATAGGAGGAGGAGGAGGAGGAGGAGGAGGCGGATAGGAGGAGGAGGAGGAGAGAGAGGAGGAGGAGAAGGAGGAAGAGTAGGAGGAGGAGGAGGAGGAGGAGGAGATGAGGAGGAGGATACGGAAGGAGGAGGAGGAGGAGGAGGATGAGGAGGAGGAGGAGGAGGAGGAGGAGGACCAGCGCCGATCCCAGAGGAATTTGGGCGGAGATCCGAAGGTTTCTGCTCGTGGCGCCCGTTCTTCCTCCAGCCGGGGCGCCTCGCCGCCGCCCGGGGGCAGCGCGCCCGCGCCCTATGCGCGGCTGACGAGCGAGCCGGGCGGCGGCACGTTCCAGCGTTAGGTGGGGCATGTCCCTCTACAGGAGGAGTCTTCGAGAATTGTCAAACAATGATGTGGGCAAGATTTGTTTGTTTTGTTATTGCTATGTTGTGTTCGCATGTTTTGGCCACTTACATATTTCTTCCCAAATCCGCCTGTACGAGGACATGCCCGACCTTGTCCCAGCGGCCGTAGCGCTATGTTCGGGCCCTGCGGCGGGCAGCCGGGAGCCCCGCCGCGCGGCGGCATTCAAGGGAGGAGAAACCATTCGGACCCGATACTTTGCGTTTTTCCAAACGGCCCTGGTCGATTCCTTCTGCGGGTGCGTTTTAACCAAACGGCTTCGCGTGCCGGGATGATACTTACGAGGGTGGGTTTTCTGCTCTCCATAGGCAAGGGGCCCAGCCAGAGGAGGATGCCGCTGAAGGGCCTGAGGCTCGGGGAAGGCAAAACTGGACGGGGCCAGGACGAGGATGCAACTCAATGTTGGGATCGGCGGCGAGTCTTCGAGGTCGGGTTCGAGGCTCGAGGCGGCTATTCCTCGTTCTCGGCCTCTGGTGGCCGTTTTCGGGCTCCAGGAGTGATCTGGGGTGAGTCACCGCGTCGCATGGACCCCGTGAGGAGCCGGGGGACCGATTGTGACCATTATTCGGCGGCGCGCCATGGGGAGGGGAGCGAGAAGGGGTGGGGCTCCTCAGAAGGCTCGGAAGTTCCCTGGCCTTCTGAGAAGTGTTCTGAGCCTTGCCCGAAGACGCAGGAAACCTCTTAGAAGGCCGTATGCCTTTGAGAAGTCTCGCCGCCTTCTGAGAGGGCCTTCTCCTTCTCACTTCCCTCCCTCGCTCGCCGCCGACAGTGCTCTGAGAAGGCCGTGGCGCCGGGTACATCCTCCAGAGCCGCCGGATGTCAGGGATTCCCCATTGATTCTCACCCGATGTTATCCTCGTCCCGGCTTCGTCTCAGGAAGAAGCACCGATACCGATACTGCTACCGTGCTCTCGTTTGCGCCTTGGGGGGGGCCTCCTGGGAGGCCCTCGTCGCCACGGCTGGATTCGCCTCGAAGCGCCGGTCAGAACGCACCCCCGGGGGCGTGGGCGTGCGGTATCGGTATGCCGAAGTGTTCCCCCCAGAGGCAGGGGGCCCTGGTGCTCGTGCGCTAGCGTCGAAGAGCAAACATCGGCAGGAGAAGACATTTTCGGAGAGGTCCGCGCGGACTGCTTGGATCTGCGCCGGGCGCTGCGCGCACCAGGGAAGGGGGTCCAGCGCCGACCTCAGAAGTCCGCGCGGAGCTCCGAAGGTGTACGTTTTCAGTGGAGACCCATGCCAAGAAACACCCTGCTTTGCCTCCAGGGTGCCCTGGGTTTCGATGGTTTCGCTATGGGGAGCGTGACGTTCACACACCAAAAGTCAACGGACGTTCGGGGGGTCTCAGGATTGGGTTTCTTGTGGAAGGTGTCTTGTGGTCGGGCCTCTACTGTGTGCCGATTTTTCTTCCTCTGCATGCCGAGAAGAAGGGCCCTGGCGTGGAGGAGAAGATCGACTACGAGGGGTCGATCATGGAGAAGCGGGTAGGCGGCGACAATCGGGAGTCATACGTGATGCTGAAGGACTGTGTCCGCTTGAACGGTGCCGGCGAGATCACTGCTCGGGAGGGCAACAAGAAGTTGATCGACGCGTTTATCTCGACGAATAAAAACGCCATACACGTAAACTGTTGGCGCTCCGCGCGGATTTCTTGGATCCGCGCTGGGCCCCTGGCGCGACCCGCGCGCCAGGGACGGGGTTCCAGCGCAGATCCAAGAAGTCCGCGCGGAGCGCCAAAAGTTTATGTTGATGGCGTTTTTTTTCTTCTACGATCGAGGAGTGCGAAGTCGTCGAGAAGGTGGAGCGACCTGTAAGCGCAGAGCTACTCGCAGCGGAGGCCATGAAGGCCAAGGGCGGCAAGGGCGGCGGAGCTGCGGCTGCAGCTGCCGCGGCCGCGGCTGCTGAGCAGGAGGAGGAGAACACAGGCGCTGGCGTCCGCGCGGGCATGATGGGCATGCCAGGTATGGGCATGATGGGCATGCCGATGATGGGCGGCATGATGATGCCGATGGGCATGCCGATGATGATGGGTATGCCCATGATGGGCGGCATGATGCCCATGGGCATGGGCTGCGGCGGCGGCATGGGCTGCGGCGGTGGTATGGGCTGCGGCGGCGGCATGGGCTGCGGCGGCGGCATGGGCTGCGGCGGCGGCATGGGCTGCGGCGGCTGTCCAGAACACATGGGCTGCGGGGGCTGCGGCGGAGGCTACGGCGGGTGTGGCAACATGGGCTGCAGCTGCGGCGGAGGCTGTGGCGGCTGTGGCGGCTGTGGCGGTTGCGGCAACATGGGCTGCGGGGCTGGTTGCGGCAACATGGGCTGTGGGGGAGGCGGCTGCACAGGCGGCTGCGGCAACATGGGCTGTGGGGGCGGCATGGGCTGCGGTGGCGGCATGGGCTGCGGTGGCGGCGGCTGTCCAGAGCAAATGGGCTGCGGGGGCTGCGGCGGAGGCTGCGGGGGGTGCGGCAACATGGGCTGCGGCGGAGGCTGTGGCGGCTGTGGCGGTTGCGGCAACATGGGCTGCGGGGCTGGTTGCGGCAACATGGGTTGTGGTGGGGGAGGCGGCTGCACAGGCGGCTGCGGCAACATGGGCTGTGGGGGCGGCATGGGCTGCGCCAGCGGATGCACGGGCTGCGGTGGCGGCCCTGGCTGCGGAGGGATGCAGGGCCACGCACAGCGGAGCCGCAGCCGCAGCCGCGGCCGCTGAGGGCGGCCTCCCTCGCCCGGCCCCCCCCCCACCGGGTGTCCTGCTCCGTGCGCCCATCCGCTCTGCCGATCCGCCTCCGTGTCCTCCTGCGTCCCCGGGCTCCTCCCTCCTCTGCTTTCGACGCTTGACGTCTCCAGCGGGGTCGTTGTGGTGCAGTGCACGTCCGCATGCTGGTGGGCGTGGGCTCGTCGAGGTGTCGGTGCTCCTCGACTGGGCCGTGGAGCTCGTGGGCGAGCTCGTGGTGGCGGTCGTTGCCGTCGCGGACGTCGGCGTTGGCGTCGTGGTGCTCGTCGTGATGGTGGTGGTGATCCACGCATGAGCCGTGTGCGAGGCGCCCGTTCACCCGCCCGCCTCAGGTCTGGCGGATCCTTCCGCTTTCTCGGCGGCAGCAGCAAGCGCGCAAGACTTCGAGTGTACGGGAGAGCGCGCTTACTCCGTCAACATCTTCCCTCTTCTCTCCGTCTTTGGGAGTCTTTGCCGTGGGGCCGCAACAGGAGGAGTCAATGTTCGAGGTCGTCACAAAAGGGGAATCCTTTGTTGTAAGGCCGCCACGACAGATAATCGGGACGTAGAGGAGGCGAGCAGATGAAGAGGATCACGAGAAGGAGCCAAGAGGCAGAGAAGAGAGACCACGACCGCATAAGGAAGGAGCTGCAGTACACGGGCACTGGTTTAACAACATCACCCGCCCCACTCTCCACCCCCTCTCCCCGCCCCGTTTGTTTGCTCTCCCCCCCACACCTCCTCCACTTCCGCTCTCCCCCTCCCTCCCTGCCCACCGCCCGCCCTTCCTCGCACTCTCCCCCCCCCCCCTCTCCCTTTCCACATCCTGCTGTTCACATGGCTCTGCTGCACCTCCTCCTCCTCCTCCTCCTCTCCTCCTCCTCCTCCTCGTCCTCCTCCTCCTTCTCCTCCTCCTCCTCCTCCTCCTCCTCCTCCTCCTCCTCCTCCTCGTCCTCCTCCCTCGTTCACCTCCCCATTCCCCAGAGGCCCCTGGAGGCCTCCAGAGGGCACCAGAGACCTCACCGGGGGCCCAGCGAGTGCAGACTGCGACCCCAGGACCTCAGTGATCGATTCTCCTCTCTAGAAGGAGCAGGAGACGGAGGAGGAGGAGGAGGAGGAGGAGGAGGAGGAGGAGGAGGAGGAGGAGGAGGAGGAGGAGGAGTAATAATAATGATCATGATCATGCCAATAATATTAACAATCCTCCTCCCTCCGTTCCCCTTCCCCTCCCCCTCCTCCTCCTCCTCCTCCTCCTCTCCTCCTCCTCCTCCTCCTCCTCCTCCTCCTCTCCCTCCTCGTTCTCCTCGGTGCTTCGTACGATGCTGCATCGTGGAGTTCCCTTCGCACCAGCACGCGCCAACGTACTCCGATCCCTTTCACGTATTGCTTGTTTTGTCCAGCCGCAGGATTTTAGCATGTAGGTTTTGCTGTGTTCATTTTTGGTCCGAGCGCTGTTCGGACCCTCAAAAAGTGCGTTCCTGTAGGAGGGTGGACACTATTTCAGAACCAGCTTATCCCAGCACAAGCTCCCCTGCTCCCTGCTCCTTCCGTGGCCCAAAGGCGCCCCACTGACCTCGATAAGTAAGACGTCGGCTTGGTAGGGCCGCGCCGCGTTGAGCTGGCAGCGACTCCGTGAATCGAGGGTATCGAACGATCGTGCGATCGTTCAAGGTTGCACGATCAATGCTGTGTCAGAAACCTGCGCCCATGCCATGACGACGTGCATCTGCCATACGGGACAACACACGGCGTCGGTGGTCCAGGTGCGAGGGTCGAGGATCCAGATGCGATCTGGAGGACCCAGACATGCGATTCCTTGATCTGTTCATCAATACGTGGTCCACTGAAGCCCCGACCCTACCCCCAGGGCTGGTCTTTCATCCCGAGTCGTTCGTTGATGGTCCCGAGGCTCGGCGAGGGCCCCTGACGGCCGGAAACAGCCACAAATCTCAGGTTGTGATTTTGGCCAGGACGTAGGCAGGTACCGGTCGAATCGAGGCGTCCGATCGAGGTCGGCTCGGGGAGGGCATCCTGATGTCCTTCGTGCTTCTTGGATGTTCTTGTGCATCCTGGGGAGGGTACCCTTGGATGCTCTGTGTGCTTTGGCCAGCGGAGGGTCTCATGCTCTTGAAGGATGTGCTTCTGGGGGGAGCAGCGGGTGCTCGCGCCGCCGCCGCCAGGTCCCTGGAGGCGTCCAAAGCCGCGTGCATCAGGACCTGCGGCTGTGTGGCCATCGAGTGCTCGGCGGGCTCCGACCGGGACTGCACGCTGAGGCAGATTGGGTCGGGCGGGCGGCAACAGGGGGCCGGCCACGAGCAGAGGGGGGGGGGACCAGGGGGAGGGGGAAGGGCCTCTTAGGAGCAGCCTCCTTCCAAGAGGCCTTCCCCCTCCCTCATTGTCCCCCTGCGCGCGCCGCCGAGGCGAGCGCGGGGGGCAGCAAACGTGGGGCGGGGGGGGGGGGATCGACGAGTGCAGGAGGGTGGCCCCCGTCGGGGCCCGAAGTGGCCCCGAGGCTGCCACCTCGGGCCGAGAGGGTGCACGAGAGGTGCGAGTGCACAGGGGATCGGCAAGAGAACTGGTTCACCCCGGGGTTGGCTTCCCCGTGGACTCCACGACAAGTGCGTAGCAGGTTCGTAGATCTACGAACTGTATTGTTTTGGTTGGGTAGGTCCGGCGAGGAGATTCATTCTGGGGTGTGCACTCGACGAGGATTTCGGTCGATTCGACGAGGAAATGCATTTTGTTTTTGGTAGACTCGACGCGGATTTTGGTAGATTCGACGAGAGATTATGCAGTCGATCCCCAGCTCGAAAAATGCACGTTTCTCTCCCCCCCCGACATGAGCCCCACCCCCCCCTGGTGACGAACACCCGACATCGGGGGGCGGCACGCCACATTGGGGGCCGGCGCTAACGGGGTCGGCCTGCCTTCCCTGGTGGCGACCCGCGCTTGGGAGCCAGACGTGCTCGCGACGTGAAGAACATCAGGGCGTGATGGCTTTGTCGAAGAACAGAGGTCACCATGAGCATAAACTCTGGGCCCTCCGCGCGGAATTCTCGGATCCGCGCTGGGCCCCCCCTGGCGGCGCCTCCAGCGCCGCCCCTGGCGCGCGCCGCGCGCCAGGGAGGGGGATCCCATGCCCATGCAGATCCAAGAGATCCGCGCGGACCGTCGGAAGTTGGCCGCTTTCGGCTTCCAGGGGCCCTCACCTCACCACCCACCAAACCACCCCAACCCAACCCGAAGGCCTCAATTTGCACTCCATTTCCAGTGGGGGGGTGGTCGGGGAACGTCGAGAAAACATGTACGGAACCCGTACCCCCCCCACCCGAAATTCGGGTCTTCGGGTTGGGTTGGGGTGGTCTGGTAGGTAGTCATCGCCGGGCCCCGGGACCGTCAAAGAACGGCTCGGGATGAAGACCAGCCTTGGTGAAAGGGTCGGGGCTTCTGGGGTCCGCAGATTGGAAAAAGAATCCAGACGTCGTCTGGGGGGGGGGGGGGGGGCGTGGCCCCAGCTGGCCCGGGCCAGCATGTCCCCGATTGCGCGCCTGACCGCCTACAGAGCCGAGAACCGTCAGAGCCAGCAGTTCGGGGCCTCGGGGCCCTCGCGGGTCGATCGGCCTGGAGAGATGCCGCGCGCGGAAAGCTTGTGTCGGTGGTTCTGATCGTGATTTGTCTTGCCGCTTGACAGTTTCAGGAAGTCGGGCCTCGGGGAATCGGGCGTCGTTTGCTTGAGGTCGCGTCAGCGGTTGACATGAGAAAAAGATGTTCAAGCCGGACGGCCTGCGATCTGTAGGCGGTCACGGCTTCGATGAGGGCCAACTCGAATTTGGTGCCGTACACGCCTGCTGACTGTCACGTGATGAAGGAGCTCGAGGACGGGGGCCTGTCGGCAAACATCCATCCGGCGTACGAGCAGTTGATCAAGGAGTGGGCTTTCAAACCCGTCGTCAACCAGGCTGGTCAGAAGGTCAACATCGTGCTCGCCCAGGCGCCGATGGGCCAGGGTGGAGCCAGGAAGTTGTGGGAGAAGCACAAGGACGAGCTTCTCTTCCTCGGCCTCAGCAGCTTCGAGGACTACCCGCTGCCACCCCACAACACGTTCTCCCCACAGTTCCCAGAGGACGAGTACGTTGGCAAGTTCCCGGGCTTCCTGCACCAGCTCCGGGAGCCAGAGAAGGTGTTCCCTCCACACGTGAAGACGCTGCTCCTGTCCCAATGTCGGAGAACGAAACATGGCATCCGCACAGACTTTCGGAGGTCCGCGCGACTTTTTCGGATCGGCGCTGGACCCCTCCCCCTGGCACGCAGAGCGCGCCAGGGGCGGCGTCGGAGGCGCCGCCAGGGTGCTCCAGCGCAGATCCGAGAATCCGCTCTGGCCTCCGAAAGTTCATGCTGTATTCGCTGTTTTGTATCTCTACAATCGGACTTCCAGCTCCCGGAGTTTCCCCCGAGAGATTATTCCGTGCCCAGGAAGTACGATTTCACGCTGTCTGGGTCGGACCAGGACGTGGCCCACGACTGCGTCGGCTGGTCCTCCTTTGCGAAGAATTGGTCGTTTGTCAAGCAGGCGCTGGAGGTGTTCTGTGGAGAGTTTAATATGACAGGGGTGCTGGTGGCGACGATCAGCAAAGACGGAAAGAAGGCATGCACGATCCCCCCAAGCTGTAAGGGGAAGATGACACAAACCAAGTACATTACACAGGAGGAATATTTTGGCTATCTGAAGCAGAGTCGTTTCTCTTTTCTGCCTCAAGTGTACGACGCGTCCCCGAGGGTGATCACCCAGGCACTAGCAATGGACGTCCCTGTTTTAATGAACGACAACATCATAGGGGGATGGAAGTATCTCAACCACAAAACTGGTGAGTTTTTCCACGACATGAGCGATATTAGGGGTAGCTTGCGAAGGATCCTGCGAAATGCGGACGTCCCGTACCACTATGAGCCGCGCAAGTGGGTCCGGGAGAATTATGGCAACAACATTTCGGGCAGAAGATTGTTGCACTTTGTGAAGCAGCACTTCTCTGACCGCATCAAGCTGCCCAAGTGCACGGAGTACCTTGTGACGCACAGCGTCCGGTGAGCGGGCGTCTAGCAGCTTCGAAACAATTGCCTTCTCCAGATCAGCCTGTTTCTTGTCCTCTCGGGATAGCGGCCGTTACCGGGGGAGGGAGGGGGGTGGGGGAGTCGGTAACGGTTGGTAGCGGACCGTCCCGATTCGCGCTGGCGCCGTCTCGGTATCAGCTGCCTTTGGCCATTCCCAGACGGCCCGGGCGCGAATCGTGACGTTACCAGTGAGTTGGTGGAGAGAAGGAGGCGTAGAGGGCGTTATCGCGAGTCGTCAAAGATGCGCTCGATCCCCTGGCGTCCACCTCAATCCTTCTCCTCCCATCCTCCTCGTCCTAGTATGCCTTCTCCGTACTCTCGTGATCTTGGTTGCCGCAAACTCATATTCCTCTTGTTTCGCGGAGTGCACGTCCCGAGGCGCAGAGGGTGATGAGGCAGAGGCAGAGCGAGGAGGAAGGGTGCATGAGCGAGTCCTCAGGCAGAGCGATGAGGATGAGGCGCGGAGTGCACGTCCCGAGGACGACGCTGGCGCACACGACGACGACGCGAACAACGACGCGGACGGTGACGACTCCGACGAAGAGGCGACGACGACGCCGCGGACGACGCTGACCGTGTGCACGTCCACGGCGGCGACGGCGGCGTCGGCGACGGCGACGGCGATGGCGGCGGCGACGGCGACGGCGACGGCGACGGCGACGACGACGACGACGAAGCGGACGACGATGACGCCGCCTCGGCCCGCCCGCCCGGCCCTAACATTGCTGCGCAAGCTGCGGCGGTGCCCGCGCCGCGGAGCCGGCCCGAGCCGGTGGTGGCCGCCGCACCCTCCTCAGCGGCACTGTGACGGGTACGCACTAACGGTTTTTTACGTGTTTGATCGGAAAATTGCCAGCAGTTGCCACTTTGGGGTCTTTTTCTGGCACTGCAGCGTTGTTCACATCGGGGAGGGTTGGGTTCGCCGGGTCACTGGCCAAAGTACCCGTTAGTGGGGTCCCCGTTAGAGGGGCGCTGACCTCCCCTTCGGGGAAACGTCAGACTCGAGCACGCGGGGACTCGGGTTCGCGCCTACGCTTTCTGACGAGCCCGCCCTTGGTTTGGATGGTCCAAAGTGTCGTGGGATGTCTGCAGCGGGAGTTCGCGTCAAATTTCAGACTGGGTCTCGTCGTTGTCCCGCCCGCCCCGTCAGGCCAGCCCGAGTCCCCCGAACGCGAGTTTTGCGTCTCCCCCTCGCCGCCCGCGAGGCTCCGACGCTGAAGTAAGTAAGGACGACCACTGGGGGTTCACGAGGCGCTCTGGCCAGCGCCCCTCGCGAGTCCCTCGTAAGCCGAGGCGTCGACGCTGCGACAAGGACCACTTGGGGGTCCACGAGGGGCTCCGGCCAGCGTCCCTCGTGGGCCCCTCGCGAGCCGAGGCGTCGGACTACTTCGGGCTCAGGAGGGGCTCTGGCGTTTGGGCCGCTCCTCGGGTCTGCAGGTCGGGGAGTCCATATATATATATATATATATATATATATATGTTTACACATATGTATATATATATATGCTTACACATATACATATATGTATATATGTATATATATACATATATGTGTTCGTGGCTGGCCAGGGCTCGCCTTGGCTAGAGAGGCCCTGTCGCCGTTGCAGGTGGCCGCGCAGCAGGCACATACGACACAGCCGGACCGGGGTATCAGATCGAGGTCGGCTCGGGGAGGGTCATTTCCCTGGTGCTTTCCGTGGATGTCGGATGTTCTTGTGTGAATCTTGGGGGAGGGGGCCCTTGCATGCCCTCTGTGTCTGGGCCGGCGGAGGGCCTCGTGTTCTTGGGGGTTGTTCTTCTGGCCCAGGTCCGACTGTGAGACGCTGTGCAGCGATACATATGCATACATACATATACTACACCAGAGAAGCCCCAATCAGTGGATGGTAAACTAATTACACCAGAGATAAACCCCAACCGGGAACCCGGGAACCCGGAACCCACCGAATCGGCCCGGAACCAATAACCAGGAACCCAGGAACCCGGAACCGGGAACCCGGAAACCCAGTCGGCTATCAAAATCGGCGGGGAATGTTCGCCAAATTTTTCAATATCCGTTAGGTCCTGTTCAGTGCAAGCACTGATTGGGGAATATATATAGATGTATGTGTGTAAATATACATGTGTATATATATATATATATATATGTATACATGAATCTATATATACATATATATATATACACATCTATATACATATGTGTGTATTGGGGCACACTAGACTCTTCGTCGAGATCCGCGGGTCCTGCGGTGCCCCAGGGCTGCTGCGGGCCCCGGGGGCCGCTGCGGAGATGGAGTTTTTGTGGGCCACCCGCTGGCAGGCCGATCTCTTGACCGACGTGCCGACTGGATGATGGGCGCGGATCGCTTTGGAGCGCTCCGGAACGCTCTGGAACGGCACAGTCCACCCGCATAGTAAGGATGGGCAACCTTCCCCAGGGTGCCCCTTGTATCCTTGCCCCTTCGGCCCATCCTCAGCGACTTTCGCTGGCCAGCCTCGTTCGAAAAACGTTCACATGGGCCTCCAAGGCCCTTGCATCCTTACCGCGCATTCTTATGACACGGGTTGACTGTAGCGGCGCCCGATGCATCTTCCAGGCCCGCCGGTTCTCAGAGCTTCCCGATCTGGTCACCCTCACCCGAGTTTACCCCTTGTCTTGCTTGCGTCTCAGTTCGGCGGCGATCAGAGGGGCCGAGGGTCGGGGCGGGAGGGGGGCGGAGGATGAAGGAGCAAGAAGAGGAGGAGGAGGAGGAGGAGGAGGAGGAGGAGGAGGACAAGGACCTTCAACATTAGTGTTTCTACGATTTCGTCGCTAATCCTCGGAGCCGTGATCCAACGGAATGCAGTCATGGGCAGGCTGATCATCTTGTCGAGTCAGGACCCTCCGATAGAGTGGTGGTGGAGGAGGGTGGAGGAGGGGTCGGAGCGCGGAGGGCGGGTCAGCGGAGGATGAGGGTGGAGGGTTTCCGAGGGTGGGGGGAGGGGAGGAGGAGGGGGGAGAAGGGGGGAGGGAGGCGGCGGACGATGAGGGCAGAGGCGGATGGTGGAGGAGAGTCGGGGGGCGGGTGGGCGAAGGGCAGGGGGTGGAGGAGGGCAGAGGGTGGTGGCTGGCTGGGAGGAGGCGGGTGGAGGTTGGAGGACGGTGGAGGGGGGTGGAGGGGAGGGAGATGTAGGAGGGCGGAGGGGGAGGGTGGAGGAGGGAATCTGTCGCTGTGTGTGTGTGTCTCTCTCTCTCTCTCTCTCATTTTTCTCTCTCCCTCCCTCTCTCTCTCTCTCTCTTTCTCGTTGGCTGTGATGCTGATGATTCGTGCCAGTGTGGCAGGCGAGCGGCAGGTTTCCACGCTGGCCAGGGCGTCTCGCCTGGCCCGAGCGGATCCGTGCGCATGCTCTTCGGTTGCCCCGCGGGTCAGGTGTCTCTGACCGTCGAGTACGACTACTTGCGTCTGGTTCAAATGATTGTAACCGCCGCCAGGTGGTTGAACACACCTGTGCGCTGCAGCGTTGACCAGTTAGTACAGAACAGAGTTCCATCTTCATTACGACCATTATGTTAGATGTGCATGGTCGGGGAACGAGGTTTGGGCAACGAGAGCGGACACAGCGAGTCTTACCTCGCGACCGTAACGGATTGAGCATAATGTTGTCAAGTTCGGATTTGAGTGTCGTACCGCGTACGCTCAACTTGATTACGAGATCGTCAGACCTGGCTTGCAGGCGAACCACGACGCGAGGACGAACTACCATGAAGAGCAAGATCGAACGGCTAACCGAGACCTGCCCATCGAGCACGCGATGTTACTGATTGATGTGCTGATAATATAGACCCACCCAGGCGGATGTCTGCCGCGGCCGCCGTTACCCTTACCCCTTCCGACCGTGCCTCCCTCCCTTCCCCCCCCCCTGGCCCGGGGTAACACGTGTTATCCCCGATTGATAACACAACGATATCATATAGTGACAATAAGAGGCAACCGAACGATCAGATCGGAGGAAGTTGTGCGAGGGCATGCGAGCAAGGCTCATACGGCAAATGGAACGTGGCGACAGTAACGGATCCGTTTTCAAAACGTCGAAGTGTGAACAACCAATTCAATTGAAGGTGTGGTGGGGTTCGCACCGACCGCGAGTGCACCGAGTAAACGCAGTGGCAATGGAACGTGGACAACACAATTCGACAACACAAGCAGGCTGATGTTACCCGGCCCCGAAGGACAACTGATGAGCTCATGCGTGGGACGCGTGACCAAAGACAGCGAAGCGAGGTAAATTATAGAGGACAGCCCCGTGGACTGTATAAGAGGGTTTGAAAGAAGACGGCGGTCCAAGCGAGGGCGAAGGAACACCATCATGGAATGCACTTGCGTCACCGCAACAAGGTAAACAGGGTCATTACTTGAAACGCACGATGCGAACATTGAAGTTGGACTGCAACCGCGAATTACGCGTGGGGTGTGCAAGTCCATTGCGTGCCTATCCTTAGTAACCCACAAAGGTCCCCACATGCTTCACCACAACGAGGATGTGTCTGACAGAATGTGGAACGACGTGAACAGAAACGGGCTCATCTCTGAACTAATGATAGAGGCTTGACAACGGGCAATTGATCAATTCCACAAGCACCAGGTGCACGCAAACGTACATGAACATGGGCGTGGACGAGTTGCAGGCAAGACACCGTTAGTGACCAGATGGTTTGGCACTCGATGGGGGGGAGTATTGACGCCCAGACTGCGTGCCACTATACAATTCGAAGTAGAAAAAGCATGTGCACCCACACCACCATTGGACGCATCATAGCTAGTGTCCTCCATTGTAGTAAGGGAAGGGACGGGTTACATAGGATGAGACATGCATAGCGGGTTGACCTTGGTATTCACCTAACAAGCAATACCATATTCCTACGCCCCGACAAATATGATATCGATACCACAGCACCGCGGGAATATTCACTGGGTTGGCAGGCGTGACGCACTTCTC